CAATTCAGACTGTTTTCATGAAATTCTCAGAAAAAAAAGAGTCAGAATTGTGAATTTGTATAAATTTGCAGTTCTGAGAAAAAAAGACTTTTCATATACAGTATAAACTCAGAATTGTGAGATGTAAACTCAGAATTCTGACTTTTTTCTTGCGATTCCGAGCTTATATCTCACAATTCTGTTTTTTTTTCTGCCACAAAATCAAAAACGTAATTGCTACCTTTTATCTTACAATTCCGACATTTTTGTCTCGCGATTGTGAGTTTGTATCTCACAATTTTAAGTTGATATCTTGCAGTTTTGAGTTTTTTGCTATTCTGAGTTTATATCGTGCAATTCTGAAAAAAAAGTCAGAATTGTAAGATATAAACTCAGAATTGAAACCTTTATTGTGAATTTTTTTTGTTTTGCTTTCATAAAATGGAGGTAATATAGGAATATTTGTGCTTTTTATTACAATAATAACTATTACAATTGTTCAAACTTCAGTTTAAAGATTTAAATAAACCCTTAACTTTCAGTTTAAACTTCATTGTATAACACACCCTTCATGTTTATGCTACAAATATATATATGAATATCTCAAATCGGGGTTTCAAGGGGTTGCATGGGAATGAAGAAAAACAGTGTAAAAAAATTCTCTACATTAACCTCAAAGCAACGCTCACCCACAAGACCATATCATCGCAGCAGCAGGTTTACTGGATGAGATCTGCACTGGGCTAATCATTGTTTAGTCATGGTCTTATAATTTCCAGACCCGCCTGTGAGTTTTCTCCTCTTATACACTCCATTGCTTGTCTGCTTGATTAAACAGTAAACTGCCATGTGGAATTATTATATTGCTCTGAGCACTGACCCTGAGCAGAGTTCAGGCCTGGCGTGGGGCTCAGCGACAGGTCTGTGGTCACTGCGTCTCTCTCTCACAACTGCTCTGCCCTGAGCACTTTGCCATATGTTGACCTTTTGTGAATTTGTGAGCTGAGTTTTCCTTTGCGTTCTGTGCAATAAGGGAAAGAAGGGATCGCATGGCTGAACAGACACTAATTGCATTTTTTGCATTGAGCTCCGCTGCATTCCATGAGCTCCGTGTTCCCAAAGCCTCTGGAGAGAAAGAGGAGGAGGGGAGTCCTCAAGTATGAGGCTTGTTCTTGATTTATCACGCATATTTTGTTTTATTTGTGTCCACTGTGCTTCCTTGAGGCTCTCCAGTATGCGCCAGGCTTGTTTCACAGCAGCAGCACTCCAACTGACACATTGCATTGTGCCCTCACACTGACAGTATTGATCTAAGAAAATAAAAGTGATATCTGGGTTAATATATTAATTTTTTATTAATACATTACACATGGGATGGGTGAAAACTGCTTTTGGTATTGCAATATTTTCAAAATTTTCCCCTTCACTTTTTTAACCATGTTGGTTTGACTGAAAGACACTGTACGTTATGCAAATTTCTATATATTCTACATTTGATGAGCAAAAACATACTTTTAATTATTTGATTATAGATCAAATATATAGAAAGAAAGAAAGAAAATAATACTTTAATAAGGATGAACTGATATTCAAATAATCAAATAAATGCTTTTTTTAAAACTTTTAATTCATAAAAAAATCCTGACAAAAATGTATCACAGTTTCACAAAAATATTAAGCAATATTAACTGTTTTCAACATTGATAATAATAAGAAATGTTTCTTGAGCTGCAAATCAGCATATTAGATTGATTTCTGAAGGATCATGGGACACTGAAGACTGGAGAAATGATGCTGAATATTTTTTACATCACAGGAATAAATTACATTTGAAAATATATTCAGATAGAAAGCAGTTTTTTAAAGCTGTAATAATATTTTCACAATATTACTGTATTTTGGTGAGCATCAGAGACTTCTTTCAAAAATCTTATGAACCCAAACCTTTGAAAACTATTTTTTAACCGACCACCGCCCAGCGTTCAGTATTGATCCCCCCCATCTTTCAGACCACAGCTCCACCTGTGATTATTACAAATTTGCTCTTAATAAAATCTAATTTACATAAGAAGGGGAAGCACATTTACCATGGGAGCGAACCCAATGTTAAGAGCATACTGCTTAAGTTGTCTAACTTGCTGAATAGACAGTGTTTATGCGCCTGTCAATGTACGACAGATGTCTTTTTTCAAACAATGGGTGAGTAATTCACTCTATTATTTTATATTGCTTCATAAAAGCCTATATTGCAAAACACTGAGTTGTTAAAAAGGTTTATAGTGCATTTTCATAATGTTTCTGCTGAATTCAGCACACAACGTGAGATAAAAATAGACTCCAAAATACTAGTGGCACATGCTCTTCTGTTACACAGCATTGTGTACAGTATGAAAGCTGTAACCGGTTAACATGCTAAACAAAATAAACGTCAGCTTTACAGCATGAACAAGTTTCCCCTTTCCTTCACTCTGACGCAGTGGCACCAGCTAGAAATGTACTTATAATCAGCCAAACCAAAGCATCCTATGCTACCTCAGCTGGCCTGTGCATGTGTGTGTGTGGGGGGGGGTTAAGTGGCTGTGCTCCATCCATTCGGCCTTCTCTCCATATACCCAGCCAAACTTTTCTCTTTTCTTTTCTCCCTCTACCTTTTTTAGAGTTTGTTTTAAAATACCCTCGACCACATTTCTCTCTCTCTCTCTCTCTCTTTTTCTCTTTACGACTGTTTGCTTCAAGAGTTTAAATGGATTGTCGGGACAGCCCGTCTCACATCGTTACTGGGCAACGGTCTTCAGGAAGGAATTCAGAGCCCTCAGTAAATGTGCTTAGGGCTTAGACTCATGCAGCTCTCCAAAAACATGCTGTTGAAACAAGAGAGCCGAGTGCATTAAAGGCCCATTCCTCGCACAGGGGAAACAGGCGCGTTTGTTGTCATTTCAGTTTCATGAACTGCAGAAGTCATTGAGGGAGTGTGGTTTCACTAGGTGGCGCTATGCCAAGCTCATTTTCACACCGTTATCAGGCATCTTTTGTCCGCTGTATGCTTTTTGGTGTCATTGCCGGTGGGCAAACTGCATAAATGAATCAGTTTCTCTGTCACTGCTATAACCGGCCCTGCGGACTTGTTCAAACAGAAGCGGTCTGTGCCTCCCGTGTTTCAGGCCTGAATGGAGGCCTGTGTGGAGATCTGGTGGAACATGTTGTATGACTTTCCCTACTGACCCCCTGAGAATGCACTGACATTAAATCACAGATGGAGGGGTTTGTATGTTTAGTGAGGCCTGTTTATCATCTGAGGGGTAAAATATAATAATTATCCTTTTTTTGAGAGAGAGAGAGAGAGAGAGCTATGTGCTGGTCAGAAGCTGTTGCTCTATGATTTGTTTCAGAGCGAAGCCATCCATAGCCAGACCCATCTGATCTCAATTTTCTCCTGTAGACAAAAACAACAACAGCAACGAAAAAACCAACAACAACTAGCACATGCTTGTGTCCGCACATCGGAAGGAAATCAATAAAAGAGGGAGACAGAGTAGAAAGATTAAAGGAAAAGCAGAAGACGGAGGGGGACGATGGAATTTTCAGCAATTATAGTTTGGCAAAACACAACAGCGGTCGATGTAAGAATCAACTCATTTAACGTTTATCCTTTTATGCCTGACTCTATTTCAGTGCAGTACTGTTTAAAAAGAGAGACATGAAAAAGTCTTTTGGAAATTAATGGCTTGATGAGATAATTTAACTTTATATATTTAACCTTGTCATGCTCAAAATCAATCCTCAATGTGAAGTTTTATACATACCACACATACTGCATATGAAGCAATTTATGAAATAGCATTTTTGTCAGGAAGGAGCTGATCTGTTTAACCCAAAATGAAATCAAAATAATTGGTGGATGCATACTTATCAACATCAAGATTTTAGGTTAAAAATAATACTGAAAGTGTAGGTTCTTTATCTGGTCTGAATTTGTTTTATTTTCTTTTTCTATTTTTTTTTTTTTCCACTTTTTTAAATGGTCTTGCAGAGTGAAGAATTCATTTTTAATAAATTTAACTTGTAGCTTTTTTTAAATGAATATGCAATCATATCAGCTCACATGTTATGCATAATAATTCTAAAATAATTCACAAAATGCTATTTAAAATAGTTTGGAGTTACACCACAGGATTATCAACATCAAGATTTTAGGTTAAAAATAATACTGAAAGTGTAGGTTCTTTATCTGGTCTGAATTTGTTTTATTTTCTTTTTCTATTTTTTTTTTTTTCCACTTTTTTAAATGGTCTTGCAGAGTGAAGAATTCATTTTTAATAAATTTAACTTGTAGCTTTTTTTAAATGAATATGCAATCATATCAGCTCACATGTTATGCATAATAATTCTAAAATAATTCACAAAATGCTATTTAAAATAGTTTGGAGTTACACCACAGGACATGCTGTACTGTAATAGAATAGAATGTCAACTACCAATACAATTTTAAACCAAATTCTGTTGTTATTTGTTCTGCTATTAAGATATTATGTTTTTTATCTTCTACAATCATCTCTCAAAAACTACTCTCAGAGTCTATCCAGTAAATCTAATTAGTTTCCATCCACCGTGTTGGCCATTTTTCTCTGTATGCTGAAATCACTGTGAAAAAAATATTTGACTTTTATCACTAACAAATTAATTTCACCATGACTTTGTTTGACAGTTTTCGTCTACAGTTTGATTGTTATCTGAAAACAAATCCATAAGCCTAATCGCATACTGATATATGATACATGTTCTTGAGCAGGGATTCCAAAACTTTTTTTTCAATGGAATCTCTTTGACCAGAAATATTTACTTGAAGTGTCCCTTGAGATGTTAATATTTCAATAATTTAACATATTTACACACCCAGTTTGGGAAACCCTGTCCTAGAGTAGTAGCAGCCAATAGCAATTATGGCATATCTGTTCAGCATAAGTATAATGTTTTATTCTATTTATCCACCACACTCAATGCTAATGGTCTTTTCTCTGTAGCTTTTGCGGATGGTGACGTTGCCTGAAAAGCGATGGAGAGCTCGACCAGGAGAGGGTGCTGCGAGGAGAGACCCAGCCGGACATGGTCAGGCAGACGAGGATGAGGAGGGTCTAGAAAGCGGGGACTGTGATGATGAAGATGAGTGTACTGGTGTTTCTGGACTCGGGCCGCCCCCGAGACGCAAACGCCTGCGCATCTTTGCAGGTCAGTGATAGCACCCACTCGAACTCATTCTTAGTGTCAGTGAGTTTTTAATTGGTCCTACTGTAAATTATATTGCCCAATCTATGTTAAAGTTGCCCTAACTTCACAGGTTACAGGTAGCTGTGTATTATTAGTGACCTCGCGACCCTATCATTGTCCGAGGAAACAAATAGGCTACATGGGAGATGTTTCCTTTGATGCAAAACAAAGCACAAAAGAACCAACAAACCATGTTAGTGCAAAGAAACTAAACAGAGGCAACGAATAAGAGTAGAAGGGCAGGAACAAGGAGTTTGATACTGACTGACAAAGCCGGACCAGCTGAGCAAACACAACAGAGGGAGTTGTCGTCCTGGTCGTGTTTTTGTGGTAGAGATTTGGGCTCTCAGGGTAGCACCGCAAGGGGCCCAGGGTTACACTGAGAATCCCACTTATAAAGCACATGTGGAAGGACAGGATAACGCACATATCAGCACTCAAATTCACACCGAGGAAGTGAAGCGGTGATAAAACGCCCAGCATCGAGCTCTGAGGTCTGAATGCTCTCTGAACTGTGAGCTGGCAGTGTTTGTGTGCGTGTCCTTCCTCCCTCTCGCAGAAGATTTACTGCTTTGATTATTAAGAATGAAGAGAATGCATTTTGGGCACGGGATGAACACTTGGCGATATATCTTTCCTGTCTTGGAATTTTATATCCCACTCCTCTCTCCAGTCCTCTCTCATTCTCTGTGTGTTTGTGTGTGTGTGTGTGTGTGTGTGTGTGTGTTAGGTCGGTGGGTCACGACCCAAGAATGAATCACAGGATTGTTCTGATAGTGTTGTGGACAGCAGGGCAAAACAATGCTAAATGCTAATAATAAAAAGCAACCATATAATCAATCATTCAGGTTAGGACACTTAGAAGGGATGAGAAATCACTTCTGATATTTTTATTGTTTATGTCAAAGGCTGTGCAAACTTTATGGGGTTTTGGCACAAGTTAAAGGCAGGGTATGTGATTTTTCAAAAACGCTTTAGAAAACTGATTCGGGCCGAATCGCAAAACAAACTTGTAGCCAATCAGCAATAAGGGGCGTGTCTACTCGTGATGTGGAGGAGAGCGCGTTCAGTGCATGGGACGGACATTAGCCGAGCCGAGCGACAGAAAGATAGAGATGGCGGATAAAAAACAAAAGAGGAAAACGTCTGCGGAACGATAAGGCAAGAAGTAGGACCCGTGTAAATATCAGATCAGCTTTCCAGCGCTGGAGAGAACTCAAGGAGCGGAGGCCTGCGATCGGACGCCGAGGTTGCTTTGTTTCTTCTCAATAGGTGAGTAACACCGTGTCTACAACAGCTAAAGTCTGCCTACACTGGACACGATCAAACGACCGTTGAAAACCATTTGAAATCGGTGTCAGCACGTCATAAATAGAACCCGGCAGCAGTTTTCTGTCGGGATTTGTTGCGCCGCGCCGCTCACGTCCGTAGACACGGTGTAACATTGGTTTTGCTTTGTTTCACAGAACTAATCGTTGCCTGGGTTGCGTACATATATGTGGGGCGGAGCTATCAAAATAGGGGCAAGACCCTTTTGGGGTAGGGGCGTGTTTGTTTTGGTGATTTCAAATATCAACATTGGCTACCAGAAATCACTTACTCTGCCTTTAATATGCCACTTGGTAATATGGCTAATGCTAATACAGCATTTTTAGCCCTGTGTTGATTCTGTGTGTTAATTAGCTACATTTGAGCAACTTTTCACAGGCAAAAAGGTCAGTTGTCAATTGTCAGTAGTTTAGCAATGTAATGAAGCACAGCTGACACAAAAGTCACTTTCAGTTAAAGCAGCTTTCTGTTGGTCATCTTGGCAAAACTGTGTGACCAACTTGAACCTGTCGCGAAATCTTCGTGGGGAAATCTTTCATCCTCATGCAAAAGGTGTTGTATGTGTTTTCCAAATGACTGGATTGAGCCCACAAAAAAATGACATACAATGGTAAATTTGACCACACATTTAGGGTTGGTTCACCCAGAACATGTTTTTGCGTTAAACTGCTCTGCTTTCCACTGTAAACATAGAAAAAAAAACATTTCTTGCTGCTTTTTCAGCATAAAGGCCTAAGCACGGCATTTTTAAAGACACTTCAAGTTAAATTAATTCAGTTTCAAAACATTTCGTGCATAATTTTAAATATCAGAGAAGGCAGTTAGCTATAACAAAGGCGATTAACTTTCAAAAACAGTGTTCAATTCTGCTGTTCTGCTGTTGTTTATGCATTTACAAAATTATCGGTTTTCCTGTTTGGCTAATATTATGTTCATAATTTTACAGGTAACAATTTACAATAAGGTTCTATTTGTTAACTATATTTAATGCATTAACTAGTATTAACTAACAATAAGAAATGCATTTGTTCCAGTATTTATTAATCTTTGTTAACGTCAGGCTGATGATACACGGGGCAACTTTTTGAGCAATTTTGCCGGGCAACTTTTTTTGAGCAATGTTGCTTGGGCACTTTCCCATTTAGAATGGGTAACAAATTTCTATCTGGATACTTTAGATCGGTCGTGGGCCCTGTGTCTCACCTGGTTGCCCATTGATGGCAACACTGCCCAAAGTTGCTCAGCAACACTGCTCAAAAAGTTGCCCCGTGTATCATCAGCCTTAATTAATAGGTCTATTAACTAACATTTATAGATACAACTTTTCGTTTTAATAATCTATTAGTGAATGTTGGAATCAACATTAACTACGATTAATAAATGCTTTAGAAGTATTTTTCGTTGTTAGTTTGTTAACTAATGTAGTTAACTAATGTTAACAAATGGAACATTATTGTAAAGTGTTACCATTTTACATTTTGTCATACAGTTTCATGTTTGATTCTTGTTCAATATTTGACCAATATTCTTGCTCAAGTTTTGTTTTAGTGTAGACCTTTAGGCCTCTGATGAAACAGGTACACAGATAACAGCAGATAGGCAGAAAGCTGCTGATGACCCAGTAAAACACGCTTCGGCCCTGCTGTCTTTTCATCCCATTTTGGTCGTTCGGGGAGGGGTCAGGAAGCCAGAATGCTGAAGGTCATCCATAGGCAGGTTTCCTAATGGAAGTCCTGTCTGTGCCCGGTGTGCTGAGATGGACGACGTAGATCTGGTTTCTCAAAGCTCTGCGAAAGAGACAAAGCTTTGGTGCTGCGCAGTGGCCTGGGGATCGTGACGGACAGAACAACAACTAGGTGCAGACAGGCCGCACCTTGGGCCCAGACCCCTCCGTAAATCAAAGCTGTCTGCTGGACAGTAATTTCGTGGATGTTCTGAATGATCTGGATTGATTGATAAATCATCATTTACTCTGGGCACAGATTCCAGGCCTCCTTACCCCCCAGGACTGTCCCCAACCCCCATACCGACCCACGCATTCCAGGCCAGCAGAGCTATTCCAGGACACGGGCTGTGTGTGTGTCCTGTGCACACACCCCAAGATACACACAGCCGGCGCTGAGGTCGTGTCATCTGCCTCACCACACTCACTTTAATGTCAGCCGCCCGCTTTTTTTGTGAGATTATGTGAGCAGCGGTGCAGTCCAGCGCTAATCAAACCTGCTGTTATTACATATTTAATGCTGCTTCATGAGAAAGGGTTTGTATGAGATACTCTAATTGTTTAAACTGAAATAGTGATGTCAGTATTAAACTGTTAAACCGTATGTAAAATAAGTGTATGCATCACAATAAGTGTATAACAATAAGTGTCCTCCGTGGTCCCGTAGTCATGTGATCTCAATGTGGTTTCATGGAAGTGTTCAGAAGTTCTGTTTATTTCTTTGTGTGCAATAGACTGATTTTCACCAGTTCCAACTAAGTGTGATATATATTTTATACAACAGTTCTATAAACAAGACATTAATAATGAATAACTGGCCAGTTATTAAGTTTATTTTTTCACTGCCAACAACATAAATACTTGCAAAAAAGCAAAAGCGGGATCAAGTGTTTTCAGAGATCAACGCAGAGACTGAAACGCCACGAACACAAACAATTAGAGTGATACAAAGTGAAGCAACTCAGTACTTCACAATATGGCTCGGTTTGTTAAAGGGGTCATATGATGCTGCTAAAAAGAACATTATTTTGTGTATTTGGTGTAATGAAATGTGTTTATGCGGTTTAAAGTTAAAAAAACACATTATTTTCCACATACTGTACATTATTGTTTCTCCTCTATGCCCCGCCTTTTTGAAACGCGTCGATTTTTACAAAGCTCATCGTTCTGAAAAAACGGTCTGATACGGTCTGATAAGATCTTCTTTATGCACCAAGAGCTTGTAACACTCCAAAGAGAAAGGAAAAATTGAAATCGCATCATATGACCCCTTTAACATTAGTTCATGCAGCTGGTATTATAATCCTACAATTTTATAGCATTTTATTAATCTTGGTTGATGTTCATTTCTACATACATGCTAGAACATTTTAACCCTTTAAAGTTGTATATAATTAAATTAATGTATTATATTTTTACATGAATGTATTATAAACAAATATGAACTAACAATAAACAGCATATAAATAGTATATTTATAAATTAGCATTAAACTAAATTATTAAAATAAAACATTCTAATAAATGATAAAGTAATTCTTTAAAATTGATGTATTAAAAACAATAAGATTCTAATAAAAAATAAAATTATAGCACTTTTATTTAAAATTATAATTAAAAAAATATATTATAAAAATGTTGATCATAATTCATTCATGATAAAAAAGAAAGAAAAGAAAAGTAATAACACCACTCTCGAAATGGTGCTTGGCCAATCAAACAAGAGGAATAGATTTCATATTTTATTTATAAAATGGTATTAAATGAGTGGAATTTAAAAAATAAATTATTATAAAATAATTATCATTAAAATTAAAGTAATAATTAAATATTATACCATTTTAATCATATTGTATAACATTATACTAAATATTATTATATAGAATTAATAATGTAGTATTATAATTTTA